CAGGCCAAGCAATAAATGCAATGTTATCTCTTGGCTGTGGCGTGAAAACCAAGTCCATTTATTTGCATGATAATGTGTGAGATCAACGTTCAAATCTCATCCGTTATTTCAAGGAATATCTGAGTAAAACCGCATTTAAATCATTAACTATCGAAATATTTCAAGATAGGCCTGGATCGCACTAAATGTTGTATCAAATCCAGAGAGACTAATTCGAATAAATAAACTAAAACAATCCTGACCAGAACTTCTGCCGGTATTCTGATTTCTTTATGTAGCATTGGGTAAATCTTGTTTAATCAAATAAAATTTCTAAACTTTAATATTAGTTGAATACATTTGAAAATAATATTCTTAAACAATATCACAATTACGATAAAATCGCCCGCAAAATAAGATACCTTCTATTTGTGCTAGATTTATATTGACTTTTGTTGTTGACCTACAATAAATTTCAAATAATATAATAACGACTATTTGCGCACATATATATTGTTAACAGTCTGTTAATACAAAACAATGAACAGATAATTGTTTTGTTTTAACAGATGGCAGAATAAAATCATAAAAAGAACTAATTCACACCCCAGAATCGTTAAATTATAAAATTTCTTATATCAGGGACAAAATTCCAAATCCATAACATAAAGATATATTCGAATAACAATCATCTTAATAAATTCAGCAAATATAATCAAAATTCATGGGTATAAACATAACGCATAATAATTACTTTACTATAAAAATCAATAAATTAGAAAATTCAACCTTTTCCTCAATTTTTCTTTGCTAGCCTTTATATAATTGTAAGCAAACAAAATGCATTTAAAAGTAAAAAAAATATTGTCACAATTTATCATTTGTATAGAATAAATGATAAATTGCGTTTAATTATATTTTATTTAACTGAAAACTAAATACGGCGTAGTATATTTTTGATATTATTAAAAAAAATGTATTTTGTCCTTTATAAATTTTCTTCAGACAATACTCGAAATGTATTCATGTAACTTTATTGCAACAGTACAAGCAAAAAATCCAATCCAAATCTGATGAAAAAAAAACTTTAGAAAAATAAAATTTGAAACAGTTATTAAACCCCCATAGCAAAACCAGAAAATTTAAAAGCTAGAAAAGTTCTAATCGAAAGGTATAAACTTGCTTCAATTAGCATTTAAAATTTATGTAAAACGATTGTTTAAATAAGATAAGCATAATTGCATAAAGTATTATGATAAATATGTTATTATAATATATCATGTAATAAAATTCATCAATTGCCATTATACTATTATAAACAAAATACCATTACCATTATTTATAATAAAATTTATCAATTGCCATTATAGCATTTAAGATACATGTAAAACAATTATTTAAAAAAAGATAAGCATAATTGCATAAAGTGTGAAAGTATTATGATAAATTTGTTATAATATATAACATCTCATGTAATAAAATTTATCAATTGCCACTATATTAATTTATAATTAGCAAGTGATCATCATAAAAATGTATGAATAAAAGTAGAATAAGATTCAGTTATGTATTTAGCATGTCTTGTTTACTTAAGAAATTTGTCATGTTTAATTTAATAAATATATATTACACAATGTGAATAAAAAGCTATGTGACTGAAAAATGAATTTTAATTCACTCAAGATTAATATTAACTGAAAAAAATTAGTCTGGTATAAGGTCTTCCAAGTTAGCTAACAAATCTTGTTTATGAGATTTGTTATCAATATTATTAGAATTTTGTAGTTCTTAATATAAATTCAATTGTATTCAAACTTTCTTTGCATCACTTTATGTGCATATATTTTAAATATACTCAATGGCAAAAGTAGAATAAGATTTCAAATATTCATTATTTAGCATGTATAATGTTCAATCTATACAACAAGAAACTTCTATACAACAATAAAAAAATCTATACAACTATAAGATGAATTTTAATTCACTCGAGATAAATAGCGATTGCAAAAAAAATGTCCAGTTTAAAGATTTCCAAGTTAATTACACAAAGAAAATTTACAATTGGTTGATAGCTAACAAATCTTGTATATGAGATTTGTTATTAACATCACTAGAAATTTGAAATTTTCACTATATATTTATTAACATTCAATCTTTCTTCAATTCTTTGTATCACTTTCTTTAGATGAAAATATGTGCACTTTAAATGTAGACAATAACAAAAGTAGAATAAAATTCAATTATTCACTATAAAGCTTGTTTTGTTTCTCGATTTAATAATAATGTTTCATATCACTGTGGCTATAAGTTGAATTTTGATTCACTCCAGATAAGTATTGAGTGTAAAAAATTAGTGCGATATAAAGTTTTCCAAGTTGTTCATGGAAAAAATCTATAACAATTAAAATGTAGCCGATTGATAGCTAATAAACCAGTAGAGATTTGTTACTAACATTATTAGAATTTTATATTTTTCGACATGAATTTAACTACAATATTTAGCATGTTTAATAATATAATATTCATTCCACTCATATCACAAAATTCTATAATATATATATATATATATATATATATATATATATATATATATTATATATGATATATATGAACGAAATGTTAAATATGAACAATACAACACTCAGATTTTTAACACACATTTTATTTGGTAATTACAAACGTTTCGAGGATATGGCATGCCTCATCTTCAGTGTAATTTCAAAACAGTTACTTATATACTACACATTTCTTAATATTCTATTTAAATTACATTTAATTTTTGAAAATACAAAAAACACCAACTATCACTTGCAGGGCTTGACACAGTACTAAAACATGTGAATAGATACAAAAATATTTTAAACAAATCTTAAGTATTGAGATGAAGAGGGGACAAGATGGGTATTATTATAATGTAAACAAATGGAGTGGAAAAAAAAATATAAATTATATAATTATTTAAACGGAGCATGACAGAATCAATGTTATTAGTTAGGACTAACAATAGCGTAAATCTGAGAACCGACACAAATATTTTACACAACTCTTATACAAACATCATTAATAAATTATATATTTTTTTTCATTTATCTTATTCTCTTCAATAAATTAATCTGTTTACACATTTGTTGATTTTAGTATGCAATAGCGCACTTCATTTGTTTACATTATTATAATACCCATCGTGTCTTTTCATCTCGATACTTAAGATTTGTTTAAAATATTTCTGTATCTATTCACATGTTTTAGTTCGGTGTCAAGCTTTGCAAGTGATAGTTGGTGTTTTTTGTATTTTCAAGAATTAAATGTAATTTAAATAAAATGTTAAAGAATGTGTAGTATATAAGTAACTGTTTTGAAATTACACTGAAGATGAGGAATACCATGGTCTCGAAACGTCTGTAATTACCAAATAAAGTGTTTGTTAAAAATCTGAGTGTTGCATTGTTCATATTTAACCTTTAATATTTGTTCCACTCATATCACAAAATTCTATATATATATATATATATATATATATATATAATCTACAATAAAGAGACAAAATGGTTTTTGAATTTAGTTGCATTTTTCTTTAATAATATGTTATTATAGCTTCTACTTAATTAAAAGAATATGTAAAGCCCGTAGCCAATGAACATAAAAATGGGGAAAATGATTGAGAATGATTAAAATATCATTAAATAAATAAATATCATTGAAAAAGAAAGAGAAGAAGTCGAGAGAAATATCGACTGCAAAAATCTAAACAGGATTGTACAAAAATTTTCAAGTTAATTTCATTAGATAAAATTGCAAATAATTGCAATGATAAAATTCTTATTAAATTATTATAACGGCAATAACTCTGATTAAATTATCTCAAGTACCAAAGGATTTATAATCCAGTTATCAAAATATCAACTAAAAATAATGAAGCAGGATTGTATAAATTTTTTCAAGTTAATTCCATTAGATAAAATTGCAAATAATTGCAATAACAAAATTCTTATTGAAATATTAGAAATAAAATAATAAATCTGATTGAATTATCTCAAGTACCAAAGTATTTATGCTTCAGTTATCAAAATATCGACTGCAAAAAAACTAAGCAGAATTGTATAAGTTTTTTCAAGTTAATTTCATTAGATAAAATTGCAAATAATTGCAATAATAAAATTCTTATTGAAATATTAAAAATAATAAATAATGAATCTGACTGAATTATCTTGAGTACCAAAGGATTTATAATCCAAATATCAAAATATCGACTGCAAAACTAAGCAGGATTGTATAAAATTTTACAAGTTAATTTCATTAGATAAAACTGGAAATAATTGCAATAATAAAATTCTTATTAAAATATTAAAAATAATAAATAATAAATTTGATTGAATCCAAACCAAAGGATTTACAATTCAGTTAACAAAATATCGACTACAAAACTAAGCAGGATTGTATAATTTTTTTCAAGTTAATTTCATTAGATAAAATTGCAAATAATTGCAATAATAAATTTTTTATTAAAATATTAAAAATACTAAATAAATCTGATTGAATTATCTCGAGTACCAAAGGATTTATAATTCAGTTATCAAAATATCCACTACAAAAAACTGAGTAGGATTGTATAAATTTTTTCAAGTCAATTTCATTATATAAAATTGCAAATAACTGCAATAATAAAATTAGTATTAAAATATTAAAAATAATAAATAATAAATCTGATTGAATTATGTCAAGTACAAAAGGATTTATAATTCAGTTATCAAAATATCGACTATAAAAAACTGAGCAGGATTGTATAAATTTTTTCAAGTTTTCATTAGATAAAATTGCAAATAATTGCAATAATAAAGTTCTTATTAAAATATTAAAAATACTAAATAATAAATCTGATTGAGAATTATCTCAAGTACCAAAGGATTTACAATCCAGTTAATTATATCTAACGAGGAAATGAGTCACAGTAGAAATATACAAATTGCGCGCTACAAATACAAAAACTCAAAGATAATTTTGTAATTATTTTTATCACTTACTTGTGGAACCTGTGTACTTTTTCCTGAACCGGTTTCTCCTATCAGAATAACAGTTTGATACAAATCCAAAGTATACAATATATGGTCCTTGATACTCCTTATTGGCAATTTTTCACGTTGAAGACTAAGACTTAAATTATTATTCGGATTGAATGTGAACGTTGTAACATCCTCTTCCAAAATATAATCGGGTTTATCACAAATTGAATCACCTGAGATAAGAAAGAAATAGATAAAAATTATTGTTCCAAATATTGAGGTTAGCTGTGTGACCTTGTTTATTGTAAAATGATTTGCTTTAATAACTGACCTGGCTTTATAAACTTAGGTTTAAAATTCATATTTAATTCACTAAACAATATTTTCTTTCACATTTTCCGCGTAAGTGATAGATTGTAAGCGAAAGGCCGATGAACGTCAAATGCTATTTTTAGAATGGTCCGACTCGATTTATGTTTGAACTCACACACTTATGAAAATAACACATACGAATGGATTTACTTATGAATAAAATTTGTATTAATTATAAATCATGATATAACTGCTTTTGCATACAATAAAGAAATAGAAATAAAAAGACAACACAACTAAAGATAATCCTCTGAAATCATACGATGGTACGATGTCAGGCGATCGGTTTGTTGTGACTGACGGATTCGAGCGTAAACAAAATTAGAGTTCACATGCAAGTGTTGCCAACAATAGAGTAATCAAAAAATGGAGAAACATTTCGAAACTAGTGGGGCGCATGGTATCGTGCCTTAAGGCAAATTGCTGGAACTTCCCGTACCGTAATTAAACATTCAAACTAGTTGGTTTAGTATTTAGCCTTGAGGCAAGTTACATGAACTTCCCGATATGTTTAAATAATCGACTTAATCAATAAAAAATAAATTAATTTATGAGTCATTAAAAGTATTCCGAGTGGATTTATTACACATTATTGAAAACGAACGAACACTTTGACTAGGAGTATTTTCTAACAGCAAATTTTCAAAAATCAATAATTTTTATAATTGAACCAGTTTCCAGGACTTTAATGGTTTATTATTCAAGACCAAGTACTCTATCAATATACCAAGTAAATAGTCTAATTTTAATTTTAACAAATGTCAAAAGAACTACTCATTTTCTCAAACTTTGATGAATTCTCTAAATCAAACTATTTGTCGTAAGGCCGTAATATTTCAGTAAGTTCTATAAGACCATGGTATATATCGCTAAAAAAAATCCATAAAAATCGGCCTAATTTTTTTTTTCAACAGTTAATTACAAGAAAACGGTTCGGTAGATTTTCACCTAAAACTAATCAGTATCATTCCCAACTAATATCTTTCGAACAGTTTTTGATTTTTTAAAATCGGTTCGGTAGGATGAGCTTAAATGTGGACGAAAAGTTTAACACTTCTTTTCAAATTACAAAGAAACAGCTTGGCAGATCGTCGCACAAAACTGACAAACAATAGTCCTCGTTGACATACATCAAATGGCTTTTAAATTTTTAAAATCGGCCCAGCCGTTTTCGAAAAAACGTCCATTTACGGCAAAAAATCTGTTCACACACACAAACACACACACATACTTTTTCCAAATTTGGTCTCATTCGATTCAGAATGGCTTGAAACGTCGAGAAAACATAAAATTAGCAAATCGGATTTTTTGATGAAAACAAACTTCTCCTTCGGGAAGTTAAAAAAATATTACAGACGTGAAATTCAAAACCGATCAGTTTTGACTTTCTGACGCGCTAACCAACTCAGCTATAACGACATGTTCACGCACAACGCGTTGATCTGATGTCTAGGATCTAATCGGAATTTCTGCACTTTTTGCTCGGTATCTTAGAAATAGCTGAACCTACCTATACCAAAAACTAATCAGTACGTGTCCACATCGATACAAATCGAATGGTTTTTGAATCATTCAAATCGGCCGATTTGTGTTCTCAGAACCTGCCATTTTTTGCACTTTTTGCTCCGTATCAGACCTACCTTCGCCAAAAACTAATGAGCACGTCTCCTTATCAATACGAATCGAATATTCTTTGAATAATTCAAATCGGTTGATCGGTGTTCCCACAAAGTAAGTACCAAAAATGGTAATTCTGTTTTCGAGAGCACGTAACGTTCAAAAAATTTCAAAACATAAAAAAAATCTAAACTTTTCCAAAAATTCAAATTTTCTCAGAAATTTTAAATTTCGGTGCGGAAAGTGACATGCACCACAAGTAGTTCAATAAATAATCAACGATTATCCAATTGTATTACTTTAATTTAATAATTATTATCCAATTATATACAAGTGCTGCCAACAATAGGTTAAACAAAAATGGAAAAAGCTATTCGAATTAAAGCGTTTAGTAAATTGATTGAATATTGGAATTGAATAATTACAACGTCACATATAATTAAAACAGATAAAGAATTTAATTAATTAACACGGAACAAAAGTGTGTACTATTTTAATCCCATAAATTATTAATCGTTGTCCCATCTGGTCTCATCATTGTCCAATTATATACAAGTGCGCCAACACTAGAGTAAACAAAACTGGAGAAACTTTTCGAATGAATTCGTTTAGTGGATTGATTAAATATTGGAATTTAGATAGATAAAGCATTTTATTAATTATCACGAGACAAGATTGTTCATTATTTTAGTTTAATGAATAATTAATCATTGAACAATTATCACATTATGTGTCGATTCTATAAAATGAATTGCAAGAGATATTAAAAATTTAATCATGTCGGATGAAAAATGAATTCAATACCATTATATCTATAACGCTCAAAACATGATAGTAAAATGATATTTAGGCTTGTAATGATTCAAAAAAATTATATAAATATTGGATTTATAATTAATACAAATTCATTCCGCGGATTCATATGTTTTATTCAATGCTGTATGAATTGTACCAGAATAGTTATTATAATAATACTCCAACCATGTCCGCCATAATAGAGTTATTATATTCATAAAAGTCGAAAGAATTTTTTTCATTATTTTTACTATTTCAAATATACAAACGAAGTTTTAATTACTATAATATCTGTATTAAGAATTTTAACGATGTACAATAAATGAGTTTAAAGGAAGGTATGGAAGTTTTAAATTGCTGCATATAAGTTTTATTTACTTTATCAAACAAGCTTTGAGAAACAAATATAAATAGTAATTATTTAACCGTGTTACTTGAGGAATGTTTTAATCCAGAAGTTTCTAACCTTTTAGTACCACGCTCTCCCGCTCTTTCCCGTTCTTATATTAAAAATTGTTACGACCCCCTTAATTTTTACAACAACTTAATTTCATAGATATAAATACTCAACTGATATTATAATTTAATTATTATTAGACTTAAAAATAATATGCAATAATTATTTTAATATTTTTGGTTAATTTTTAAAAATACAAGGCGCTGCTGTACGAGCCAGTAAACCGCCCAAGTATTAGTATCATTATTGATGAAAATAAACTAGCAGTAAGTGGAATTCTGTCTTAAGGCAATTAAGGCATCGTGCCTTAAGGCAAATTGCTGGAACTTCCCGTACCAAAAATTATTATTTTTTTAAAAACGATTAACATTTTTGAAGAAAATTTACTTTGAAAAAATAAGATTTTTGAGAAACTATAAATTGGACAAAAAATTACTTTTTCTTGAAAAAAAAATTTTTTAATTTTTTTTTTCTTGAAAAAAAATTTTTGCTTTAATTTGACATATTGTGGAAGATCTGAACTTTTTTTTCAAAGCAATCGTACTGCTTTAACTGCATAGAGACAAAATATAAAGCGCGTATGCGCCGCGTCGCTGTCTAACGCATAAGCATTGGTACGGAACGCATAGGAATGTTAACAAAATGTATACTTATTGTTAAAATCTCTATAAAATATCTGATAATTTGATGTGCATATGTCTAATGATCATTTTTGACCGCCAAATGGCTCATTTTTTTACTTTTTCCTCCATATCTCCGAAACCGCTAGACCTCTATGAAAATTTTATCAATTCATCTTGTCAATACAAGTAAAGTGTTTTTTGAATTATTCAAATCGGACGCTCCGTTCTCTTGAAAACTGAGTTACCGTTTTCGGCACTTTTTGCCCCGTATCTTCGGAACGGCTAGACCTGCCTTCGCCAAAAACTAATCAGCACGTCTCCTTATCAATACAAATCGAATGCTTTTTGAATTATTCAAATCGGTTGATCCGTGTTCCCGAAATCGTCGACGAAAATTTATATCCGCACATACATACACACACGTACATACATACACACACATACACACACACACACACACACACACATACATCCATTTTTTCTAAGGTATGCCAAAATGTTCAGAAACCTCTGAAACGTAAAGATATATAAAAATTTTCATGTTTGATTTTTTTGCGATTACTATAACTTGCCCTACGGGAAATTAATAAAAAAAAAAAATTACACTTATGAAAAAAATAATATTAAATTTAACTTAAAACAATTAGGATTAATAGAAGTTTTCTAAATAACAATATACTCTTTTTGTCATTATAGGATAAGTATACTGGTATTATATTTAACCTTATTCCAACTTGATGAGATTTTTAACATCTTTAGCAATATCTTGAAAGATAAATATATGCACCTACAAATAATGTTTAAATTGTGCAATGAAAATTATTCATTAATCCAAAATAACACCCACTTCTTTTCTGGGTAAAAAATTTCTTAATTTAAAATACCAGTGCTTGAGTTAGACCCACATTTTTTCTGGGTAAAATTTTTGTTAATTCACAAATTGGTGTTATAATAGGTATTGCACAATGAAAATTCGTATATGAAAACAGGCGAGTAATAACAAAAGTAATTAATATTATGCAAGACGTTGAGTGCCTGTATGCAAAACATTTTTTATAGATACAACGTGATTTATCATTATTTTCAAAAGTGTAATTCTTGTTGACATCATACTTTGGTTAAAGTTTGTATTTTATCCATCTCTATATAAGTGGGATTTGATCAGTCACGTTTGCCACATGACGTGATCATATGGCGTGATCTTACTTTCAACATCCAATCTGGGTTAGCATATGCAAAAATAATTGATAGTCAAAATAGTCGAAAATGATTACTGAAGGTTTTGCAGAAATGCCATTTTAAAATTACTACTGTGGATTAAGCTGATTTTTTAACTTCCTGTAGGGTAAGTAATTGTAACCGACCAAAAATCGAAATTAAAAATTGTTGCATTTCTTCACGTTTTGAAAGTTTCTGAACATTTTGGCATACCTCAGGAAAAATGGCTGTGTGTGCATGTATGTATGGATACAATTTTTCGTCCACGTTTTTAGGCGCACGGATCAACCGATTTGAATGGTTGAAACACTTGATACCAAAACTGAATTTTTCTCAATTTATTAAAATCATTCATAAATTTTCGTTGAGTTTAATAGTTTCAATCAACACAAAAAGGGATATATAATCGGTAAATCTATTTTGGTCTTTACATATTGTCATTCATAATTACTAAATTTTTTTTTTGTATTTTAAAAACAGATTGTAATTGCATCACGAGAAATGAAAAAAAAAGTTTAATAGTTTTTATCAGTATATTTGAAAAACAAAAAACTCAGTGCTTACCTCTTGTTAAGT